ATTGTACCGCTAGCCATAATTCTTGCTCTACGGAGTCCGAACGTGTTGAAGAGGGCCAGTACGAAGACAGTACATCACATGCAAACATGGGTTTTACAATTCCTTGCTCTGAAGAAAGCTATCCTATTAGCAGCATTATCGAGGAAACAAACCACAACTGCACAGATGGGGAACTAAAATATTCCCCCGTAAACCGGAAGCGCATTATCGTGATAAAGGTTGTTCTCGAGTCCACAGCAAATACCAAAGGAAAGGTGGACGCATTATATGAATCGTATTAATGATTACGTAGACAGCATCCTGCCGGATGGGGAGATCACTAGAGTACAGAAAAATTTCCGACTAGGCAAAGCAGAACCAATACGTGATTTAAACCTATCCCGAAGACCCCTTAAAGCAGTCGTCAAGAATGAAACCCAGGCAGCCCTCCTATTAGAACGACGATGACCCTAAGGAACTCGCACAAAACAATATTCTTCAGCCGGACTACGACCCCAGAGAAAGAATGAAAATGTGGGAACTGAGAAGGGACATGAAGGAAAGGATGGACAGAGGGGAAACTGGACTGAGAACCAAGGACGGGATCATAAGTCAGGTGAAGAAGACATATTGGTGGCGAACACCCGTCAAAATGAAGGCTGGGTCTCGCCATCACGACCAGCAATAATGTTGACCGAGGCAAGATTGAGTAATGCCAAGAACATGACGATGATGTACACGAATGTACTGAGTCCATTCAACAAATTAGATGAACTCAAACTGGCCGTGGACCATGTGCAACCTGACCTGATAGCGCTAACTGAAACATGGTTAAATGAGCAGATAGCAGATGCAGAAGTCAGGGTGGAAGGATTTCAGCTTATCCGCATGGACAGAAACGGACGTAAGGGAGGGGGAATCGCAATGTTCATACGAGATGGTATCGACTACGTCCTAGATAGTTCGTCATCACGCAGGAACAATTCCCGCGAAATAATTAGTAGTAAAATGAGAGTACCAAACCAGCTTGACTTCTATATTGCTCTGGTACACAGACCATCAGGACAAAGGACGGAAGCGGACGATGCACTTATCTCTGAGGTAAAAGAGATCTGCCGTAGGAAAAATGTCCTAATACTTGGAGATTTTAACTCTCCAGACATTTATTGGGAAGTAATGCAGAGCTCGCGATCAGAGAACTCATTCGAACAGAAACTACTTCATTTAGT